CCTTCCAGCACTGATGACGTTCCGTAGTTGGGTCATGAAACGTCTCCCAGAAAACCACCAGGGACCCCTCATTTCAACTTCCAGCTACAAATATTTGCCTCTATCGGTTCCCTTCTTGGCTGTTAGGTAGAGCCACCCACCCGCACCTGGTTTTTACATTGAGCGTTCTTGTTTCTCAAAGTTAAGATGCTCAGCCAAACTCCGGAGTAAAAGGCACACTAGAAATCCCAACCAGGCGCTTTCCTTTTTTTTTCTTTTTCTTTTTTTTTCAGTTTGATTGCACCAACACCCTGAACGACCAACTCTTGGAAAAAGTGACGGTTCAGATGGAGCCTTCGGAAGCTTATGAAGTCCTCCGTTGCATCCCGGCACCCAACCTTTCGTACAACCAGCCGGGCATGTGCTACACGCTAGTGCGCCTACCTCTGGACGACCCCACCGCAGGTACTGCGAGAAAAGTTCCTGATGTCCTTCCAGACAGTCATCCCTCCCTGCGGGTACCTCTCTTGATTTGAGGTTCCCATTCCCCGTCTCCGTTTCAGACTTTCTCGCGCCAATCTTTCCGAAAGGCACTAGAATTCCCAGCCGCCCACTTAGCTCAGTAGCCGAAAGAGTGAATCGTAGCTTAGCAAGACGTTTCCCATCCAGGTGTTACGGTGTAATATGCAATTAAGTGTAGCATCTCTGTTTGGCCCGCTCTGCGACACGTGCGGGGCATTGGTTAGTTCACGTGGTTTCCCGGAACGGCTGAACCGAGAAAAGCAGGGGGGGTTGGACTAGAAGACCTCAAAGGTCCCTTTCAGCTGTGTGTTTGGATCTTAAGATCTGAAAATGGATCGCTTCGGTGAACAAGAGTCGGTTTGGGCTAGAAAGCCAGATACAAGAGGGAGAGGGAGGTTTTGCCCAGACGGAGTCCTCTTTTTAAGGTCAAATCACTTTGAAATCCAATAATTTTCAAATAAAAAACCTTTTTTTTTAATGAAGAATTTTTAGTTTTAAATAAACATACACAAACCAAACATAAAACCATCTTCCAGTTACATACAGTGTGTCAGTTGGTTACAAGTCTGTTGTGCTTCATAGTCCTCACTTATAGTTTGTATGAATTCTCATATTATCCTAAACCAAACAACTTTCAAATCGAACAACTTTCAAATTAAGTAAGTTTCAAATCAAATAGCTTTCAAATCACTGTCAAATCAAATTGTTTTCCAATCAAATCACCTTCAAATCAAATTGCTTTCAATTCAGATCAGTTTCAGATCAAATCATTTTCAAATCAAATCACTTTCAAACCAAGTCACTTTATTGGGCCATTCACCAACAAAAAGAAAGAAGAAATGAAAAGAGTTGTCAGATACTCAGAACATCCCAAAATAAATTTAAGAACAATGTGTAGAAAAACGCACGAAAAAGCTTCATTCCTATCAATTAAAACTATCCTAAAATCTAGAATTACAGGAAGTCCTCGCTTTACGACCACAGTTGAGCCCCAAATTTCTGCTACTAAGAGAGACAGTTGTTAAGCAAATTTAGCCCCATTTTGCAACCTTTCTTGCCACTGTTGTTAAGTGAATCACTGCTGTTGTTAAGTTGGGCATTTGGTCGTTAAGTGCATCTGGCTTCCTTCATTGAGTTTGCTTGTCGGAAGGTCGCAAAAGGCGATTGTCGTAAATACGAGTCAATGGCCAAGCAGCTGAATTTTGATCACATGACCACGGGAGATGCTGCAATGGTCATAAAGGTGAAACATATGGCCATTCGGTCACTTTTTTTTCAGTGCTGGGGTACCTTTGGTCACTGTGATGACCCGGAGTGTTAACACAAATGTAACAAAATCCAAAACATACATAAATGTCCTTTAACGCCTCCAACTTGGCCTCACTGTTCAATAATTCTCAGTTGGAGATAAAACTTATTCAAAAATAGTCTTCAAAAGAAAGCAGTACAGTCCGAACTTAGTGAGCAGATAGAGGTGAAATTAAAAAAAAACCAAACAAGCTACAATGTTGAAATTTCCACAACAGGACAGAAGTATTTACCAAATTCAAGGAGATAACAAGGCGGAGTCTGTTGGAAGGATGCCAACCAAGATAACTTCAGCCCAAAACAAAGCACACTTTGATTCTGGCAAAGCTGTGTTTTAACCATCTCTCTTATATACTATTCTTCCCAGCTGCAACCAATGAGGGGATCATGGCCGCTTCCTCTCTCGTAAGCCAAGTTGCTCCCTTCTCTGTTCCTCCCTGCGTGTCCTAGGATGAAGAGGGGATGGGCCTGGTTCTTCCTCTGACTGCCCAGCCGGCCTCTGCCCTTCCCCAGCCTCCTCCACAACCTCCTGAACCACACTTCCACTCCCTGTTGGCTGTTCCTCCTTTCCCTCAGAGTCCGACTCTACCAAGGGCGTGACAGTCACTAAACAAATGGTTATAAGTTGAGGACTACCTGCATAGAATCCTTGAGCAATCGGAGGAAGGTACAATGCAATACAGTTAGTCCTCGACTCACAACAGTTCATTTAGTGACCGTCCGAAGTTACAACAGCACTGAAAAAGGACCGCTTTTCACACCTACGACCGTTGCAGCATCCCCGTGGATCCCTTGATCTAAACTTGGCAATTGACTCGTACTTACGACAGTTGCCGTGCCCTGTTGCAACCTTCGGACAAGCAAAGCCTGTAAGGAATCCAGAAACACTTAAACAACCATGGTAATTTCACAAGTTGCAGTGAGTTCCCTTAACAACCGGGGCAAGAAAAGTCATAAAACGGGGCAAAACTCGCTTTAAAAAATGTCTCACTTAGCGAGAGAAATGCATTGCGGTCGTAAATCGAGGACTGCCTGTAGCTAAAGTATTTTTTTTTAAAAAAAAAGGACCAGTGGGTTAATCTTGTCCACCTTTCCGCCTTGTCTGTGTTCCCCCTAGTGGCTTGCACGTTTAGCTGCACGATGAAGTTCACCGTTCGAGACTGCGACCCCAACACCGGCGTGCCGGACGATGACGGTTACGACGACGAATACGTGGTAAGACCCGGGGAGTTTGCAGTCGGATGTAGAGGAGGAGGAAGAGGAGGACTGGGTTCCTCTCTGAACTTGATTGTTTTTTTTGCAGACGTTTTATCACCCAGCTAGGGAACATCATCCGTGGTAGATGAAGAGAGGGGTTTGTGGAGGAGGAGAAGGAGAAAGTGTCAGGGTTCCGGAGATTGCCCTAATTAAATCACAAGCCTCGAGCCCAGCTTCAAAAAAAAAAAATAAATCCAAAAGATTTATTAGGAGCAACCTGCCAGCATTCACCAAAAGGAATCCAACTCCGACATACGTAACTCGCGGTCCCCTGTGACCTTGTTTCCCGCCGCTCCTTGTGTCATAAATCAGATTCTCCAAACGAAGCAGGCTGGGCGTCATCGATCACATTCTCCAATGAAGGATGTTCGAGGGAAGAAGATCCCGGTCGCTTAGTTACAATCTTTTTAAGATAACGGCGGGGAATGTACTTAGAACATAGAATAACAAGAGTTGGAAGGGGTCTTCGAGGTCATCTAGTCCAACCCCCTGCCATGCTGCTCCTTCAGATTTCTCCT